TGCGCCGGCCACTGCGGAGAGAGCCGGGCCCCCAGCGGCGACAACGCGCGCCGCAGTCCCTTCTGCAATCGGCGACAACGCGTGCCGCAGCCCCTTCTGCAGTCTCACTGCGGAGAGAGCCGGGCCCCCAGCGGCGACAACGCGCGCCGCAGCCCCTTCTGCAGTCTCTGGAGACTGCGCCGGCCCTGCGGAGAGAGCCGGGCCCCCAGCGGCGACAACGCGCGCCGCAGCCCCTTCTGCAGTCTCTGGAGACTACGCCGGCCACTGCGGGTGTGAGATGTGACCAGAAGGGCGAATAGATGAAGTTGTGAGTGGATGAGGGCGACTAGATGATTGTGTGTGTGACTGTGAGATGACAAGAAGGGCGAGTAGATCAAGTGGAGATGAAATCAGAGAATGAAAGACACTGAGAGAAATGAGAGAAAGAGGTGAGATGACAAGATGAGTGTGTGTGTGTGTGAGATGATGAGATGATTGTGTGTGTGAATGTGAGATGTGAGTTGACAAGATGAGTGTGTGTGTGTGTGTGCGTGAGATGATGAGATGATTGTGTGTGTGAGATGTGAGATGACAAGAAGGGCGAGTAGATGACGACAACAAACAAATGAGGGAAAGAGGTCAGATGACAAGATGATTGTGTGTGTAAGAGAAGGACGGAAGGACGGAAGGACGGAGGGAAGGACGGAAGGACGGAGTCGGGCGGGATGGCAGCCAACAAAACTAGAACCCCACACAGACATGTGGGGAACAAAACCTGTTTTACCATGTTTTTAACCATGGGGGTCGCCCTCTTTTGAACCCCCGCGTGGTAAAAACGGTAAAGAATCGATAATCTATTTTCTACCGCGTTTACCGCGGGGGTCGTTCCTTTTTTCTACCACCCGCACGGTAAAAATTGTAAATAGCGTTGTTGTTCTTTTTTACCGTTTTTCCTGCGGGGGCGAGCGGGTACCCCTTAGCAAAACAACGCACGCGAACCGGCTTAGCTTGTCCCAGGCTCCACCAGGTCCGACAAAATCTCTGCGACAGGATCATTTTCAGCAACTCCCTCAGCACAAAACTCAGGTGGCACCATGCCTTCGTGAAACACAAAAATACCCAAAAGCATTGTTTAGCAACCGGCCTCTGAAAATGCTGGGACGCTGCGAGACCACTGGCACAAATAGCCCGTCTTTGAATAGCTGGGACATGGATGCCCATAAAAGCGCACCTGCACAAGGTGACAAGCAATTCCAAACTTGTGGCGACTAACGCTTAAAGCTCACAAGCTGTGGCCTTCAGCTTCGACGTCACAGCGCAAGCTGCAGATGCTTGCTGAATCTGAGAGCGAAAATGTAGTCAGTCTGACTATACAGCGTTGGTTAAGTTTGTAACACCCTTTGAGAACCTCTCCTCATTGGCTGACGCAATTGCCGAGGCAGGTTCCAATGAAGTGGCCTCAGAGACATGACACCAGCAGCTGCAATGGCAAAAGAAAACCTGTTTTGATTCAGGTTGTAAGTTCCTTGATTTGGGGGTTGCTTTCCTCAGCCTCAAAATCGCCGCGGGAATGATGCAGTAAGCTTTGTGCAACTGGGCAGCCCCATGTATGCCAAAGACCTGGGAATCGGAGACTGTCCAAGAAATGCACACTGCTCAACATGCCTAAGAACATTGATCAAATATGCAAGTGTAAAGCACATGTGCACGTGATCCGGCAAACCCGCGTGAATCGGTAACCTTCCTGTTCTATACGCACGGTTTGCGCACTCACAAAACAATTTACTTAGGTGTCCAATAGACCCACGCGCAGAAACTATAGGGAGGAGATAGCTTGCTCTGGCAATTTTGGGTGAAAGGGGCACAGGTTCCGAGACTATGCTTCTAGATGGGCCTCACCCACCGAAAAACTACAGTTTAGTGACTTAGGCAAAGGTGGTTCAAGACATACCCGCACGGCCACCCACAGAGCTAGGTCATCTGCGTTCACACATTGAGCAATACAAGAGACCTGGGTGGGGAAACTTGGTACCTTTGGACACCTCCACAATCCAAAAAGTCAAGCGTCACCTCATTCCCCAAACAGTTTACTGTTGGGGGTTCGCAACGCTTTAAAGAATGGTCGGGTTCCCGGCCGGCTTGTCTCCTACTTCCTTTCATTTGTCTCCCAGTTCTTTTCAATTTGTCTCCCACTTCTTGTCATTTGTTTGCCACTTCTTTTCATTTGTGTCCGCCCTTTTGTGTCACTGCTGGTGTCCGCCCATCTCACTGGCCATGTAGTCCGCCCTTTTCCGCTTGTCGTGTAGCATTTCTATTCATGTGTCTCCCAGGCCTGTCACTGGTGGTGTCCGCCCTTTTCCGCTGGCCATGTAGCATTTCTATTCTTTTGTCCCACCAGCAGTGAATAGAAATGAGTAGAATAGAAATGTACAGAAACGTCGCGTCGCCAGCGGAAAAGGGCGCGCGCCAACAGTGACAGACCTGGGAGACTAATGAATAGAAGTGCTGCGTGGCCGACGGAAAAGGGCGGACACGAGCAGTGACAGACCTGGGAGACAAGTGGGAGACAAATGAATAGAAATGCTACATGGCCAACGGAAAAGGGCGGACACCACCAGTGACAGACCTGAAAGACAAATGAATAGAAATGCTACATGGCACCAGCAGTGACGGACCTGGGAGACAAATGAATAGATAAATGCTTCATGGCCAATAGACAAGGACACACCAGTGACAGACCTGGCCGCCCTTTTCCGCTGGCCATGCAGCATTTCTATTCATTTGTTTCCCGGGTCTGTCACTGGTGCTGCCGCCGTTTTCCGCTGGCCATGTAGCATTTCTATTCATTTGTCTCCCATGCGATTTCTTTCTTTTTGTCTTTCAGGTTTGGTGCCTGCACTGCTGTTTCCTGCACTGTCCGCTGGAACAGGTTCTCAGCTTTGTTTTCCTTTCCGGGCAAGCGTTGGATGAATGACCGGATTGGATTTCGGCGGCGTGGCAGCGATCTCTCTGTTCAGTTGGGACGGAGGGCATACGTCAGGCACCAAAAATCAATTTCACGTCACATCCTTCGCTCCTCACGCTTTCATTTCTTGTCCTCACGCGGTCAGCTCCCCGCTGATTGAGCAGCATGACCAGCATCATGTTCGCACTTGAAGAATAATTCACCAAAAGGTACGGCTTAGGGCTTCTCAATTCTTTCTTAAGATGCGTCCGCCCGGTGTCCACTCTTTTCCGCTGGCCGGGGCCCGCCCTTTTCCGCTGGCCATACAGTATTTATATTCTTTTGTCTCCCATGTGGTTTCTTCACTTTTGTCTCCCAGGTTCGGTGCCTGCACTGCTGGTGTCCGCCCTTTTCCGCTGGCGATGCAGCGTTTCTGTGCTTCATGTCTTCCAGCATGTCCTGGTGTGGTCCAATTTGGATTGCAGAGTCTGCTTCCTCGTGGACAAAGAGTTCAGCTCACCCACCTGCTGCTTCAAGAGAGTGGCCACTGATTGCTCCGTGGCAGGTAGAGGTTGCGTCAGTCTGTGAACCAGGGCCTTGACTGGTTCAGGGAGGTCTGCGAGGTAGTCTTTGAGGACCTGTGTGAGCTCGGCGCTCTGGCTGTGCCGGTGTGGGGCCTAATGGCCTGGAACTTCTTTTGGACTTCAGGGTCCAGTGCATTCCATGTCCCTTGAAGGGCGTCCGTGGCTTCCTGCGGAGGCGGCGCTCGTCCAGTTGGTCCCACAAAATCGGCATTTCGCGTACGTCTTGATCTTGTCCTCCCATATCTAATTTTTGCGCTCTTCCGTTGGGCAAGGACAGTAAGCGCAGGTGATGTTCATAGCAAGGTGGTCCAAGTAAATTCAGCAGTGGCTGCCAAAGAGCTAGTCAAGGCCCCGGTGGTAGTCCAAGAGAAGGATGGTTGTAGCGCCAGTGCTCTCGTGAAAGGCAAGCCAACGATACGTAGCAAAAGGGTGGACCGCACTCACTGGATTTGGAGGGAGACCAGTGCACGAGCCGATATCTTGAGCCACCCATATTATATATATATACATACACAGACGTTGCGCAAAATCTAATTTTTGCCCTGCTATGGCACAACCACCATCAGGGCGCAGACTTGATATTTGGAGCAATCATCAAATACGCTTACAAGCAAAAATTGCATCGACAACGCCGCTGCCTTAGCGAGTACAGGGCGTGGGACGCACTGCTGGGTCACTGTTGGAGGTGCAATGCTTCTAAGGACAACTGAGATGAAAAACACAGAAATAAACAGCTGAATGAATAAAGGACGGAAAGATGGAGGGACGAAAGGTCCAAAGGGCCAAAGAAAAGGAAAAGGTTGAGTAGAGTAGAACTGCTTGGACGCAGCCACGCTATTTTTGAATGATGACTTGCCGCAACTCTCTTATATTCAGTTATTTGGCAGAATCTATCGAAGCACGCATAGTCTTGGTTTGTTCAGTACTGGGTTTGTTCACCATTTGGCCTCATTGCGCTCAAAGTGGCTGCCAAACCATTCCAGGTCTCGCAGCCCTCTCCGGCCTGCCAAAATACGTCTCCGGCATCAGGCATTGAGCGGTTTTCCGCCAAAGCATTGCAAAAGCAACAAGAGCAGGAGTACGGTGCACGCCTGCAAGATAGCGGGCCTGATAGTTTTCAATGTCATTTCACGAGATCTGGCTCTGGAGAAGAGAACGAAGCGGGCATGGCCAGATTTGGCCATTTCCAAATTCCTTCGAAAGAAATCATGATTGTCAACGCATGCAGTGTAACTTGGAAAGAAGACTCACTTGCATGGAAGAGTCAACTCGACATCAATGCTCCGAATCGGCCACGAGCTTGACTCGGTGAAGTCAAACAACTGCTCTCCACCTTGGCCAGGATTGGTGACAGCTTAGGGTTGAAGCTTGGAATTGCGTTTTTTGTGCAAAATCTGGCAGGGGGTGGTCGGGAGGGATAGGAGTTGTAGGAGTAGCTAGTGTGAGGAAAAACTACTAGTTACTACCCGGAACAGGGTTTCTTCAGGCAAAAAAAAATCCTTGAAGAACTTTGCTTGATCGAAACAGCTCCTGCAATTTCCTAGTTTGCTTTGGAAACGCGCAAAATACACATAGCATCACATCGCAATCCCTAAGCACTCCAAGTTTACGGCTTAGAGCCGGATTCGGAAACTAACCGGTCGGATTCTGAAACATGGGTTCTGAAACTTGGATTCTGAAACTGGAAAGTCAAAATCTGCAGCTGGTGTTTTGAAACTTGTGACTGGAAAGTCAGACTCTGCAACTGCTGTTCTGAAACCTAGAGTCTGAAACTGTTGTTTTGAACTGGAAAGGTCCCAGTTGCGGAGTCCAAACAGTTTGCGGAACCCAAGTTGTGGAATTCCAGGTGTGGACTCCTAGTTGCGGAATCCCAGTTGCGGAATCCTAGTCGCTGAATCCTGCGCAGTTGCCGAAACGGACTCTATCCAAAGTTGGCGTATGTACACACAACACAAAGCTGTAAAGCGCGCCCTGGAACCCCTCTTGCACACCCTCCCACCCTTGGCCAGCCAACAAGACTCAAGCTGAAGGAAGAGTGGAGAATAGTGCCCGTGGGCAATTTTCCTTTTGGAAGAAACAGTTGGCGCCAAACTACCCAACTATAGAGCAATACCAAGCTTCACGACAAAATGGCTGTCGCATTTGGTCAAGAAGATCGTGCAATGAAGACTCTGAAGTGTTCTAAGAGTTGGTGGAGTCTGAAAAAAACATCTATTATCAGATTGAACTCCCAGTCTAAGCCAATGAAAATTATTCCAGCGTACCCCAACCAGGAAAACGAAGCCACAAAAAGGAATCAGTCTTGAAACAGCTGAAACGGTAGGATGTAAACAATCCAACACTCAACTCAAGTTCATGAACGAACCCACAACGACGATCTCATACGCGTCTTTTCATGGCGCAGCACACTAAGCTCAAGGCCTGGTTACTGGGCCATACGGCCATGGGAGCATGAACTCATGAGGGTCAAGCCAACAAGTGTCATGACATGAGTCTTCGACTTCCTCAGCCCCCAAAATCTTCATTGGCTTGACGATCGTCTTCATGCGATGAAGGCGTTGATTCCCTTCTCCTCCTGAATCCTGAACATGTTTGTTCGGAGCAGGTCGAGGAGTGGCTTTTCATGAGCCTGCAACAACTTTGTTAGCGAGTCCGAAGGGTTAATATTGTGAGGAATCCAACGGACCCGCCTCTCAATCGTTCGCGGATGATGGCCGTTTCTAAGGCCGTTCTATCATCTGCGCCTTCACCCTGTTCTGTCGCGCTGGCATCGTAAATGGGCATCGACCACGGCCAGCGACACCGGATCGGAGAAAAAGTTGGTCCTCCAAAGCGATGACCGTGGCAGCCCCTTGAAGTCCTCCGGCATCATCCTCCTCAGCTTGTTGACGAACATCTAACCGGGAAAAACAGATGGATCGCCACATGCTCAACTGCTTTTCCAATGCTCCCAACGCCGTGCTGAGCGACACCGACTCACACAGCATCGTCGATCCAGCCTTCCGCCGAAGACGGCGGCTCTTCCAACCTATCAAGGAAATCGGAGCCAGCTTTCCAGCATTCATTGCCAGAGTTGTCACTCCTTGGATCCAGCCCTGTTGCGGCTTCACACGTCCAGTCTGATCGAAGGCAGCATCTGCTATGACAATGTGCCTGATTTGATCCTCTGGGACGCTGTGCACTTTCAATGTAATGAGCTGGCCCTTCAGCTTGGCAACAACACGGTTTGCGTCCACGGCGTCCTTGACAGTGGGGTTGGGAAAACATCCACTCAAAATGCTTGCTGCTGCAGCTCCATCTGGAATTCCTTCTCTCGACGCCCAATTGATCGAGGCGATGGTGCCCCGAAGCTGGCTTTCCTCCTCTGGGGTCAAAAAGGTCATGGAGGCCGCCTTGATGGTGCAGGGTGCATGTTTCAACCTGCTGGCAACATAGTCGTTCATGGTGTGTTCAAAGATGAAATCACCCGTTCGGCGTAGCCACCTGCCAACATGGAAAAGAAAGCGATCAAAAGGGCAAAGGTACAGGTAAAGACCAACAAGGTAAATGCGTGGCAACATGTTACACTTGTGGAAAGCCAGGACATCTTGCTCAAGACTATTGGAGGAAGATTTTTCAACAGGCTGCAAGCGATCCAGCCCATTCATCTTCAGGAGGAGCAGCATCAGTGACTACTCATACTCAACAACAAGCCATGTTAGCCAGCAGGGTAGTTCAGCAGAGACCAAGCCAGGAGAATTGAGAACAACGAGCCAATCATCTTTGACTTGCAAGAAAGGGATGAGGAGGTAGAAGATCATGGAATTCGAGTGATTCACTTCTACGTTGGAAATGATGATGGTGAGCCAGAGATGGAAGATTGCAGGGCGGTGGACATCTCAGACGAAGAACCCATGGTGAGGAGACTTGGGGAAGAGAATGAAGATGTGGCCACCATTGTTGACAGTGGAGCTGATGTAGCATTATTCCCTTTGAGCGCGGCAAATAGTGGGGATTCAAGATGCGCACAAAAATCGTATCCCCGTTGGGGGGGCGAAAAGTGTTGAAAGGTCCTTGCATGACCTTGATGGTTCTCAAAGTGTCAAAGAGAATGTGATCTTCAGTTCAAAAGTACATCAGCCCAGAGATTGCTATGGAAGACTGATGGAGCATGGTTGAGAATGGTGACTTGAAGGTACCACTCAACTTGAGGCCAGGGGGAGAGGTCGAAAGCTAGCCGAATCGCACCGGATGTACTAGTTACATAGTCGGCAAAGCATGTAGGGATTACATGTTTTGGGAGGAAGGTTGCTATGTACATACTTTGCGCTAAAGAATGTAAATGTGACATCGCTGACTGGGAAGGGTACATTGGAACAACCCGGGTGCACTCGTTGGCAGGCACGAAGATGCGTGATCGGCAAATCTGGGGGGTAAATTTACCCTCCGCTTTTGTATGGCTTGAGTCGGAAAGATGGGTAAGCATTTCTGACATCATACGGACTGTACATACACTAGGGCGTCCATAGTGTAGGAGAAGCACGGGTAAAAGGTATATGGAATAGAGTGTCTTGAGGAAATAGCCGGTGTATGGTTATTGCAAATCTGGAGGATAAATTTACCCCCCGCTTATGTATGCCTTGTGCTGGAAAGAGGGGTAGGCATTTCTGGC